ACAACACCGCCAACGCCAGAATATCTATTTCTTCATTTCCTGGTACAAGAAACTTTGGTTGAGTCATTAATCATCGGATAAAGAGATAATAATTCTATAGATCAATGTGGGAAATGTCTGACCAGAAACAATAAATCATGAAAAATAGCATAACAAATTGGGAAAGGACAAGAGAAGTGAAAAGTTACAAGAAAAAGAAGTTCTAGCTAGCAGCTGTAAAGAGATTAAGAGCTGAGAGAGAAATTCATTTGTTTTTGTTGTTGGTGTTCCAGTGATCGAGATACGCGGATCCCAGCAACCTGCAAAAATTCCATTGTTGAAAAGAAAGGGAGGAGAAAGATAGGAGGTGGATTGTTTTCATTTAAGAAATAGAAGAGCGCATATGCAGCTGTTTTTCTCCGCTGAATGCTGATGTGTCCAAAATCGCCATTTGCTCCGCTCGGCGCAAGAAAGATAGCCGTTTTTTGAGCGGCTTGTCAGTCAGAAACACTATCTTTGCGCTTGGGGACGCTAACAGGACCGTCTAATTTGCTTTGATTGAGTAGGATGGGCCACTCTGGGACAAATATGGTAGGGTCTAGATCACTCGTTATGTTGAAGTTAAGTAATTAAATTTATTTATTAAAAATAAGATCAAGCCGACTTGGATTGATTTATCAAGTATTACTCAAAAGAAATGGGTCATTGTGTAGAAATTCATTGTTTATTCTTTCATGTATTATTACGGATAAGTTATGTAAAATTTTATTTTTTAAATTTTTTTATATAATTTATTTAAAAAAAAAATCTCAAACATGAGCAAAAAAAATCAGCCATGTATAAAATGCTACAAGTTTATCAGATTTTGATTATCAGACCTACCAACACTTAAGATCAAAAAAAGAGGTATCAAAATATAGGATTGAAAGAAAAGAGTCGGTATAGCTTCCTAAGTTCAATAATGCTTAGCCTTTGTGTATAGCTTCCTAAGTTCAATAATGCTTATCCTTTGTTTTTTTTATTTTTTTTTTTAATAAATAATTTTTTATGGTTTTTTTTTAATTTTTTAATTTTTATTTTAATTATTACAGTCTCTCTCCTTCGTTTTATTTAGAGAATCTCTTTTAAATGATAATTATTTTTTTAGATATATATTTAAATTTAAAATATATTCTAATTCATTTATATATTTTTTTTTATATAAATGAACTTTAATTTAAAAAATAAAAAGATATATTTTCAAATAATATTATTTAATATATGCAGCCTTGCATATTTTTTTTTTATTTTATTCAATTATTTAATTTATATCTCTATTTCTATTATCATTTGTTTAAATAAAAAAATTTAATAAAAAAATTTATCAAACACAACTACGTAAATATCATGTTTTTTGAAATTAAATATTTTAATTTATATTTATTTTTCAAGTTTTATTTTTAGATATCGCTAATGATGATTTATTTATTTATTTATATATATAATTCTTAATTTATTTGATTATACATATATTTAAATTTTAAATTTTTAAAATTATAAAAATACATTGAGAAAAACCTTTATATATATGTTTTATATAAAAAATAAAAATATCTGGCTTCAGCAAGAGTCACATAACTTGTATGCATTTCTATATTTGGAGGTGCAGCCGGTCGAAGGAAGCAACGCGCAAAATGTTGCGAGACAAGAAAATCAAGGGGGGGAGCCATACATACATGCAACGAGCAAAAATGAGGAGATGTTTTATGGTCAATAAAACATTATAGTCTTTGTATATTTACTATTAATTAGCTTGCCAGTAAGTAAAATGGTTTCATTGAGAATTCCCTTTGAACTTTCTTTTAGTTTTTAATTAAGTTTACGTACAACTACAATATATATATATATATATATGATCCTTGAAGAAATTTGATTTATCATTTTAGATTCCAGGTTAGAAAGTTAAAGGATTTTAAGATATCAATTATTGTGAAAAAAAAAGTAAATAAAAATAAAATTGTTTATGTTCATCCACATTTAGGAGAATTAGTTCTTTTAACGCGTACTTGGCAAGTGTATTATTTAACTAATAGTATTTTAAAATTTCTAATAAAATTTTTTATAAATAAATAAAATTTAATATTTATTAAATAAATTATTTTAATTTATAAAAGAATATAAAAATAAATAAATATTTCTCTTATATGGAGTTAAGTGTCTTTTATAAATCAAAGATAATATGAGACAATAGTAAGGATACAATTTAATAATTTGATAAAATTTAATATAACTTTATTATTTTTTAGATTTTAATTATAAGTGAGGGGTGGTTTAATAAAATTATTTTATATCATTTGTAGTTTTATATGATGTATGAATAACCATGTATTATAAAAACATAATTATATTAATGTTTTATTTTATTTTTTAATTAGAGGTAAATTTAAATTTACATATTAGCATTGATATATATTTTCTATTATTGTATATAAGAAAATAAACATATTCTTTACATGTAACGAGGTCTTTCTCAGGTTGGCATGCAGAGTTTTTCTAAGGTGAGACAACTTGTTTTGTAATTACTAATAAAGTCCTTCCAAGACAACATGTTTATCAAATCAAATGTTTTAAGATATATTTCATAATTTTATGTATAATTACGAGTTTTTTCACCTAATGTATTTTCAATTTCATTTCATTTAAGGTAGTGCTGGGTCATTTTACTGGAAAGACTAAAAAGACAATATAATAAAAAATGAGACGAGGATAAAATTATAAGACATAGTAACTTATACTTCGCTATAACGTATAAGACATAGTAACTTCATTTAGTTATGATGAATAAGATATAAAAAAATATATAAAAAATATATACTTTACTCTTGATATATATTATTGTAAAACTTAAATATTTTTAAAAATAATTAAATATTATTATGATTTTTAATTTAGTTTATTATATTGAGTGTTAAAATCAATAATATTGTAATAAACTTAATCATGAAATTCACACTAGCCTAGTGGATTGAATCTGAGCTTGAACTAGTCTAGATTTAAAAAAATAAAAAAATAATTAACTTAACCTAACTCGATTGATCAAAACTTGGATCGATTCAGGTTAAAAAATAAGTTAAAAACTAGTTGATTTTTTTTTAATTTTTTGTGATCAACTTAAGTTAACTCTTTTGACCAGAGTCTCGAGCTTTACCATGAGTTGACTCTCAAATCAAATTTTTAAACTATTACAGTTATTATTTTTATCAATACATTAAATTGGATCAACTCAGGTTGACACTCTTAACCTATAACTCGAGCCTTGCTTCGGGTCAATCATTAAATCGAGTTTTAAAATTATGATAATAATAATTTTTATACTTGTATATTTTAGCTGGACACTCTAGGAACTAAGTGTTTTTTACAATAATATTTTAGAAATAAAAAAAAATAAATGTTATATCTAAAGACATATTTTCCTTGTATTTTCTATTTTGAATGTATAGAAATTTATTTCAAATACAAATTTATTTTTAAGTTTTTTCTCTATTTCTTTAATCAAATACATTTTTATCTACAACCTTTCTATTTTATAATAATAACCAAAAGTAATCTTATTACCTAGATTTTTTAAGCAGGATATTAATTAATTATTTTGTGAATGCTTATTATTTTATTTTTAAAAAACAAAAGTTGTTGACAATGACATTTTTAATGTCACCTATGACAACAATTATTTTTTAAAATATTTTTTGTTTTAAAATATATAAAAATAATATTTTTTTTATTTTTTAAAATTTATTTTTAACATTAATATATCAAAATAATTAAAAAAAAATTTAAATTTTATAAAACACGATTTTTGCAGCAAAAACAAACTTTTCCCAAGAGATTCTCTCTCTTCTTTGGATGGACACAGGGCCAGTGGACCTGCAAGGCTGGGGAGCCTTTGACCTCCATTTGGAGGACGCCGGAATTCTCGGCGCCAGTTAATCTCTAATTTAGTGCATCCGCGTGAAAGAATAAAATCAATGATTGATTAACTACAAGATATCTATAGAGCTCGATCAACCCCTTACACAGTGTTCACTGGATGGCTTTAGCGGCTGCCCACGATACAATTTGACCAAGCAGCTTTAGAGAAAGAAATGTCTAATGAGGGTGTACAAAGCTTACTTTCTGTGTCCCTCGTCTTAGCTGTTGACACGCTGCTTCAAAGCATTTTCCACTTATTTTTTGCACAGCAAGAATGCAAGCTGGACAAGGGTCCGGCTTGCCAAGCAGGGTTGCTGTCAACAACTACACACTTCTTAGTTCTTACCCATCACAGCTCATCAACCTAACAAAATATTTGTAATGGTTTATGGTTTTTTGCAAGACTTTTTCTACTCCAAGAAATTGGCGGTGCCGTCTATACATGGAGTGGGAACCTCTGGAACAATTATTTGCACTATCTAATCTTCCTCAGTTCTGAGTTTGGAATACCTGGACACATGGGGATCATGGCGTGTTTGCTATACCTGCAGCTTCTAGGCATGTTCGTCTCCTGGTCGTTTGAGGCAAGGGGCTAAGCCAGGTCATTGGAAACCTTGTGAACAACTGCCGAATTTAATACGGAAGATGTAACAAAGACTGAATGCAGCCTCTCTTGCACTTTCGCACCTGTAGTTATGCGAGTAATCGCAAGAAAAAATGGGGTGCTTGCAGGCATCTTGTTTTCTCTAATTCCATTTTAGCCATTTTGGTTTCGTTTATATCCTGTATTTTATCCAGCTTGGCTCCCTATCTTCCATTTCCACATGCATGACTAATCTTCACTCCAGATGAATACCACCCAACTGGGCCTGCCAGATTAGCATCACCACTGCTTATGTGGCTTCGCCATTAACTTCACAGGAAACAAGGGGGATAGGACATGGAACAAGAGATTAATACGTATCCAAGCTGAAAACAGAGGATCTCTAAATTAACACACGAGTTTTCAAAGTTTAGGTTATGTTTGTTCTAGTAGAATTATAAAAGCTGTAATTACATACACGGGAACTGGATTTAATCGTCAGGGGATGTTGTAATTGAGCTGCATTTCTAATGCACTGATCCTATCTTGAACAGATAGTAGATTTATCGTCACAACTTAAATTACGCTTGGAAGAAGTGATTTAAAAATGAAGCGGGGAATTTGATATTAAACAACAACTAATCTAACAAATATGATAGGCACACAGCTTAATGCCGCAACCCAACTCAGTATGTTATCGCCCCTAAGCTCTTCAACCACAGTAGCAACTCATCTAGTCCTTCTTTCAAGCTTCGGGGATTGTAATCCAGCTCTTTTCTGGCTTTCTCGCAAGAAAATGCCCACTGGTGTCGCAGAACATGCACACTCTGCTCCAGTAAAACACATTAAAAAGGATTCAGACATCAAGGGAAGAGTTCTTGATTAACAAGTTTAGTCGTCAAACATATGATCAGAACTGACTAGTGCTCACGATGGGGGCATACCGGCGGACATAAACGTGGAAGTTTTCCTGTAAAGTGAAAAATAAGAATCGACAGCCATCCGTAAGCTTCAATTACCCATAAAGGAATGCTAAACCTTGGCTTTTCTGTTCTAGTGATGATAGCGGCTATATCAAGCACATGTGAGAACGATGCATTTTCTCCTGTGAGTAGATATCTTTCACCCAGTCGACCTTTTTCCATTGCTGCAATATGACCTCCAACTACATCATCAACGTGACAAAAGGAAAACTTATCATTTCCACGCCCTATATATCCCGGTAAACGTCCAGTGAATCGATCAATCAACTGAAATGGCAAATCTAAGAACCATCACAATCTGCTTGTGCATTTTAAGGAAACATATACAAATTTACAAGATTACTTTTCATTATGGGCAGAATCCAGCAAACTAGCATACGTAATTTCATGCCAAAACTTGTTCGTAACTAGAAGCACCATGGGTATGAATATATTCATTGGAGGGGGTGGAAAACCGCTACAAATGAACGTCATAACATCAAATAAGAACATGATGCATCATGGAATCCTACGGATGGTTATCGAAGTGGTTAGTGACGTACACAAGCAGATCTCCTGTCTGCAAAAATATTGCAAAGGCGCGGACTATGTTCAGGAAGCCCGATCAAAAACATAAAAACAATGCTATTAAACACACCTTTCTATAGGGTCAATTTGATGACCTGTTCATCTAGGATCAAACCAAGTCATATTTTAAATTAAATTAAGTGGGAGTTAACTTGATCAACTTGATAGGTTTATCTAATCAAAGTTCAAGTAAAATTATTATTATTGTTGTTATTAAATAACTCAAAACAATGTTTTAATTTTAATAGGTTTATCTAATCAAAGTTCAAGTAGAATTATTATTATTGTCGTCGTTGTTAAATAACTCAAAACAATGTTTTAATTTTTTTTAAAAAAAATTGAATATATTTGAATTTTTTTTATAAATTAAAACATTATTTTTTTAAAATTGATTTGGCTGATCCATTTAACTCATGATCCTAGTTTTAAATGGAGTCATAACAGAACTGAGTTAAACACCACACGTGACAACCTGTTTTAAACCTACCAATATTTCTATTATTTTGTATTATAATCAATAAAAACCTGAATAACCAGCATAACCAAATTGAACCAACCTCGTCAAATTTTAAGTCAGGTCAGGTCAGCTCAGTTGAAATTTGTATAATATACATCGGCGGTTTGTTCATATTTAGTTTACAGCTTAAATGATAGAACCTAAATGACCTACAGTTTTGGAAAGGACCACCATCGAACTTGGCTTGTACCAAGATAAGGTTCACTCCGATATCATTTGATCTTACTATACCACCCTGAGTATGATATTGGTTTGCCATAGGTTCGAAGGGGACTTTTTAGTACTCTGGCATGGTAAAAAGAAAAAATTGATAAAATAACACAATTGTTCACTATTCATGGCATTCTTTTATCTGTTGGATTTATGTTGACAAGATTTTTTCACGGTAAGGATGGTATGGCTCAGAGCTTTAGTGTATCTCTGGAATTTTTTTTTTCAGTTTTTTTTTTCTTATCTCTTCATAAATTACAAGAAGAGGAAAAAATAAAGAAAAAAAATAATCTATATTAAAGCTCTATGACAATATCACTAATATTATAAAAAAAAAATTAACAAAATAAATTCAATAACATCAAATAAATTCACTAACAATGAATGGAATGAACCACATGAATCGTTTAAAGATGTCAAAACTCACTTGTATATGAGCCACTCATGTAGCCCACTTCAATCATCATTAGTAATCTTTATTAGTATCTTTAAATTCATCTTATCAAAATCTTTTTAATGGTACCAATGATATTGTTATTAGAGTTTAAGTTGTCTTAGAGATTTTTTCTATTCATTTTCTTTTTTTTTTATCTCTTCTAATTAAATCTTGTGTCCAATAATTTTACAATTTGAGAGGGTCACAAATGATACTTGTTATTTATGAGTCACAAATGTCATTTACAACTCTTTAAACTGTGTTATTTTTTAAAATATTTTTGTATTATGTTATTAATTATTATTATTTTACCATGCTAAAAAAAAATGGTTCAAAGGTTGCCTTTGGATATGATAATTGGGTATGAATGGAGATTTCTCAGTAGAAAGAAGAGTAACCTTTGGGTAATATAATAAAATTTACTCATTGTGGGGGTAGGGGAAACAGAAACAACTAAGTAGAGATGATAATATTAAATAAAAACATAGATGAAGCTATCTTTAGTATGGTAATATTTTTTTCAGTGAATATCTTTATATTTTATTAGATTGATAATAGACAAGATAAAACAAAATATAAGTTTTTATTATTATTTTTAATATGTATTGATATCAAAATTGCAATATTTGAAATAATAAATAGTGATCATTATTCTCACTTTAGTTTACAATATGGACATTAATTTTTTTTAAAAAAAAAACTAACTTAAAATAACAATTTATCTGGTCATTAAAGTCATATTAAAAAAAGATTTTTACTCATGTTAAAAAAAAGTTAATTAATTTTTAATAATATAATATAATTAAATTATGATTTACTCAGTTATTAAATTATTTTTAAAATATATTTAAAAATAAAATATATAATTAAACTAATAATATATCAATATATAGTTAAGACTAACATAGTTAAAAATATAAAATATTATTATTATTACGGATCCATATTTATTTTTTACTAGTCAATCCCCATCTTTTCATTATTAAATTCACTTTATGTGAGAAAGTGTTTACCTTTTAATTTTTATATATTAATTATTACATTGATTTTTTAATAACATATTTTTTCTCAACCATAATGTTAAAAAGCTACGCTCATTCTTTAAAAAATAATTATTCTTATACCTTTTAATATAAATCACGTTTTAGTTAATTAATTTTATTTAATTCATATATATTTTTTTAACTATTACAAACTATTAAATTATATAAAATCATTTGTCGTTTACTTTGAGCAATTGATTTTCTCATATTACTACGATGAAATGAAAAAACCAAACTCTTAATAAAATTATATTCTTAAGAAACATTTTTAAAAATTAAAATATTAATATGCGTGTAAAAGATAAAATATATTTGAAATTGATTAAATTAAATAAAATATACGAGCATAAAATCAAGAGCAATCCCTACTAGGCTAAAAAGTGACGCAACATTCATTTGAATTATGCGTGATTTTTCATTGTTTTCACTACTCTCTTGTCGGTTTCTAAGTTTTATTGTTGAATTCCAATTAGCTTGTCAGCCATCTAAGAAACAGCTTTATTTTCATAAGAAAAAGAGACACGAAAATACCCTAATCAACATTATTAAAATAAATATTATTAAATAATATTTATATATTTTTATTTATTAAGGGTAAAATAATATTTTTAATTTAACTTATATATATATTATTTGTATTTAAATTAACACTAAATATTTATAATATATAGATTATTCAAAATTTTAGTTTTTTTTTACTTGATGTTAATCATTTTAACAAATATAATATTAAAAATCACTTTTAAATAACTAGTCAACCTACAAATCCAGTTTTTAAACTTTTTAGATATATAACTTCAAATCCAAATATCTCTCAAATCCAACAATAAAATTGTTTAAATTAATGACAGCGCCTTCATTTAATGATGATCCTTTCACTAATTTATCTGAATTTTGCCTGGTCTCTATTTTCTCTTTTCTTTCTTCTTTTATATATATATATATTATGATTTTTACTTTTATATTTTATAGTTTTCAAATTTAATGGTGAAAATTAAATTAATCAAATTCAATGATGTAGATCTAAATGTTAGGCTAAACATTAAAATTAAAATTATAAAAATGTTTAAAAAGTATTTGTAGAAAAAAAATCAGCTTAATTTTGTCTCTATCTTTGTACATTTGTCTCTCCTTTTCAGATAATCTCCACCACCAAACCCGTTTCATGTTTCTATCTTTTTCTTTATGTAAATGGATAGCCATAGTTTGAGTTGAAAATAGTAAAATAAAACCAAAATTGATTTGATATTAAGAAGTTATTTGTAGGCGTGGTAGTGTTTATTTATTAAAATATTCTTTATTTGAAAAAATATAAAAATAATTTTTTTATTTTTTAAAATTTATTTTTAATATCTAAATAAAAAATAATTTAAAAATATTAATTTAAAATATTTTTTTTAATTTTAACAAAAAAAAAAAACATGTTGAAACTCCAATAAAAATAATTTTTTTAATTTTAACAAAAAAAACATGTTGAAACTCCAATCAATATCTAAATCAAATCAGTTTGGTTTAATTTAAAATTTTGAGTTTTTATGATTTTAGTATGGTCGAGGTCCCCCCCCCCAAAAACCGGCCGACGCTCACTCCTAAATATTACCGAGTCATCAAAAACATACGATCAACCGTAACTTAAAAAATGTTGAGGATCTTACTATTTTAGCCACAGCGTTCCCAGTTGTGAGTTTCCCTGGACCATAAACAACTCCAGGATAAAGGGTCACAATTGGCAATCCTTCTGCTGCTGCTTGTGAAGCAACCTTGTCAGCTACTACCTTTGATCTCTCATACTGTGTATAGAAATACTTCTCGTGATGTACCTGTAACAACCATAATCCCAAATCAATGTTCTCTCCAAAAGTCTTGCTCATTTTATGATTGGATCAAGTTTTGTGATTCGTGATCGCATAAATCCAGGACCCAAGATTTTTGGAAAGAATTTTTCTTTGATTTAATTATGCAATTTCAAATCAATCCATCCGGGCGAAATAAGTGTTGCTCACTTGGCTCTCATCAGCAACATATCCATCAGTTGATCCAAGGGCCACCATTGAAGAAGTGTATATAACCTTCTCTATCGTTTTTGTCTCTTTAGCTGCTTGCACCACATTCTTTAATCCTCCTACGTTCACCTGTCAAGAATGATTAACAGAAAATGAAATAATGTTCTTTTCAGTGATTTCATATAGAAAAGGTGGAGGCGGAAGCTCAGAGTGGACGGGACGTGCTTACGGAGAAGAATTTAGAAGGATCTGGAAGCCAGGGCTCAACAGCGGCGGCAGCATGGAAGATCACGTCGCAGCAGAAGAAGGCATCCAGGAGTGACCGATAGTCGGTAACGTCACCATAGGCGAGTTCAAAGTTCTCCCCCGAAGAGGGAGAAGGAAGGCCGGACAAGTCGCTGGTTCGGCGGACTAAGGCCCGGACGGAGTGGCCCTGTTTAAGGAGGGCGTGGCACAGTACCCCGCCTATGAAACCGGATGCGCCGGTCACAACTATCTTCTTCATTCTCAACGACAACTTATGGAGAGAAAATCTGACCGGATACGAGTGTAGCAGTGATGTTTCTGTTAGACTTTTTGCCCTGATTTGTAGATCGGACTTGATTGGCGAACATTATTGAGCTGGCCCTCCTTCCATTGTCAATAATGAAGAGGCCTTCTTTTGTTCTAATATAATATCACTCCCCGTGTTGAGGTTAGTATCTGGAAATAATAAGAAGCCTAGATCCATCTACAATTTCTTACAGTTATCATTTACCATCTCATTGGTGGATCCCACTAAACAAACGGTTCACTGGCAATTTGCTCGCGAGGAAATCCTGAGCCAATTCATTGTTCTCCTTGTTTCATACTATGAAGAAGCACCACACCAAGCAGTTTTTCGAATGTGTTTTCATCTTCAAGATGAAATTAAAAAAAAACAGAGAGAGAGACTCTCACGAACGTGCTAGAGGAACGAGTCAACTTTGATAACCTGTAATTTAAATCACGTAGCTCACTCTTTCCTTCCATTTTCCAGAGCTCACTCTGGATATAAGGAAGAAGGAGGGCTGGATTGTTTTTGTCAAATGACTATTTTACCCCTCAATTATCGAACTTTGATTCGCCTGAAATAATCGAGGATAAGAAAATATATCATGTGATTCAATATAAAACTTCAATATAATTCAACAATTAAATTAAGAATTATATTTATTGCATAAAGCTGGTTGGTTAGTGATTTTATATCAAAATTTAAATTTGTGTGTGGCCTTCTTGTACATACTATATTAATCATTCAACTAAGTCATCGTAATCATTTTCTTCATGTCAATGCTGTTATAGTTTTTTTAACCGGGTTTACCTCAATATTTTTTTTCATGTTATTCTTATTTTTGATTAATTTAAACCATTTTCCATTCAATTATAATTTACATTTTTTAACGGTTTATAAAAATCAACATAAATATTAAAAATTACAAGTCAACCCGTTGGGTTGAATTTCATAACTATATTAAAAATATTTTTAAAACACAATATAAAACTTTATAAATTATTTATCTAATCAAATAAAGTTATGCAACATGATCTTTTTCAAGCATGTTTATAGTAAAAAATCATTATCATCAAATTTTTCTCGTTGAATAAAATTATTTAACACAAAACTTTTTTTATCACTCAAATCATGATAACTTATAACTTTTTATCTTTTTCGTATTTTTCTAAAAAATTCTTTTTAAAAAATAAAAATTATCGCATATTTGGAATTAGTCATGTGCTTTCTTTATATTTTACATTTTAATCTTTTATTTTTTAATTTCGTCTATCTATCACAATTTCAAACTTAATCTCATCTAATTAGATAAAAAAAAAATTCAATCAAAGAAAAAAAAAGCTTGAGGATAAAATATATATATGTGTAAAAATAAAAACAAAAATAATTAAGAAAGTACTTCATTGTTTACATGAACAGGAAGCACCATCAAGAAACCTAATTGTTTATTTTTTTAGATAATTCATTTTCAATTTAATATATTCAAATTAACAATAATTCTTCCGCATGCCACCATTGTTATTGCTTAATTCCATCATTTGTGCTCGTATATTTATAATTAAATTTGGATCAGTGAAGCTTAATGCTAAAAATTATATCAATGCACATTTAAAAAAAAAAAAGATTTAACAATCACTTAGAAAATAACAAGGGAGGGGAAGATAGTATTTTATTAATTATTTTTCTACTATTGTTGAATGATCCAAAACTCGACCGACCACTCTAGCCAAAGCCAGGTCCAAAAAAATCAATTTAGAGTTAAGCAAGTTTGACTAAATAACTGGTCAAAACCTGTTAACTTTTTGAATTTTTTTTAAGATAATGTAGTTTTAACCTGAAATAATATGCCCAACCCCCGGGCGTTGGACTAGTTTTAATAACCATGAAAAGACCCATTCCAATACCGGGCTCTTTAAATAAAGTTTTAATTAGATAAATAATAAATTGCAAGCTAGATTTTTTCAATCAAATATTCATAAGATGCATTGGTGATTCTATGGTTCCGATTAAAATTTTTCAAGACCTGTCTTAAAAAATCTATAAAACTCTTAAATGGAAATAAATGAATTATCCGTTTTCAAGGTTCATTCAATTATTGATAAATCGCTAAACCAGCCATCCAAAATTTGCAATTATTTCCTAACATGAGTTAAATCAGTAATGTTAACTTGCTAAAACATATTTACATGGCATATGGCAATCACATATTAATTAGGTATTAATCTAGAGTTTATTATTTTAGTATCATAGTTTACATGACATGCGACAATCATGTATTAATTAGGTATTAATTTCAAATTTATTATCTCAGTATCATAGAAAATATCAAGACATATTTACACTATAAATGTAAAACACACATATGGCAGTAAAATCTATAATATACATTAAATTTTAAAAAACCACAAAATAATTAAGAATTGAATTTAAATTTAACTAAACGCAAATCATATTTTTTAAGCGGACCCGCTAACTAGTTAACATCTCACCCGTGCACGGGAACAACACATGTTACAACAAACATTTTTCCTCAGTATTTGATCACCCCCAGGCTCTTCAACCATGGAAGGACCTCTTTCAGTCCATCTTCCAAGCTCCGAGGATTATAATCTAGCTCTGTCTTGGCCTTTTCACATGAATATGCCCACTGATGTCTTAGAACATGTACAGTCTGCTCGTAGAGAGATAGTATAGAGTCAGATATCAAAAGAATTATCTCGATAGCCAACTCGATAGATTATTAAAAAAAAAAAACAATACACGAAACGAATAATAGGGTCAGAATTGAGTGGTTAAAGCAGTGGGGCATACCGGGGGACTGATGAGAGGAAGGTTCCCTGTAAGTCGAGAGACAAGAACCAATAACCATCCATAAGATTCAATTATGCATAAAGGAATGCTAAACCTTGGCTTTTTTGTTTCAGAGATAATAGCAGCCATATCAAAAACAAGCTTGAAGGATGCATTTTCTCCTGTAAGTAGATATCTTTCACCTTGTCTACCTTTGTCCATTGCTGCAATATGACCATCTACCAGGTCATCAACATGACAAAAGGAAAATTTATCATTCCCATATCCAATATATCCTGGTAAACGTCCAGCAAAGCGTTCGATGAGCTGAGATTACAAAGCTATGAAACATTAAATTCTTTTATTCGTTGGGAAATGCATTGTGCAGATACACATGCTATGCTATGGCACAAAATGTCTCTCGCTGGACAAGGAAAATTTATCATTCCCGTAGCCTAAATAACCTGGTAAACATCCAGCAAAGAATTCGATAAGCTGAGATTACAAAGCTACAAAACATTAAATTCTGTTATTAATTAGAAAATACATTGTTCAGATACACACGCTATGGCACAAAATGTCTCTCGCTGGACATGGAAAGGCTCCCATTAAATGATTATCCTCACTTAGATACCAAAAACCAACAATGCAGCCTTGAAGGTAATGACCCCAAAAACCAAGAAAGTATAGAAGTAGGTGGTATCTCCAATGAATTCCAAAAATGCATTAAGATACCACGGCATAAAAAGAAGTGATGTGCATATATTACTAGTTTACTATAGTAGTGATAGGTTTAAATTCCTGTAAGAAAATCACGAACCAGAGAGACTAAACGAAACAGAATCTCATCAAAGTAGATGCCCCAGCTATATACGTAGAGCATGTATTCCAACAAATGTGCAAAATACAAATCCAATATGCAAATAAAAAATGCATAATCATCAAAATAAAGAAAGAATGAAGCACAACTTTGACAGACTTGGATGAAGAACTTCAAAATTAACAAATATCACCTAGCAAACCATTCCCACTTTGTTAAAAGCGTTTCTCCTGGCCAAACAAAATACATGACTAGGACAACAACAGAGCCAGACAACAGTGATTTTCAATACCATTACGGCAATACAATTACCAATTTCTAACCTAAATCAATATCATCTATCATATATCATAAACCATCTAAGGAAAACCAAACAAGAAAAGAATACATCTAACCTCAATTGACATATATATATATATATATTCACCAGTCTCAATAGCTACAAGCTACGACTATGATTTCAACAATCAAATAAAAATTTAAAATTCAATGCGTAAGGAAAGCAGAAAAGAATCTTACCAATTGAGCCACTATATTACCAGTAGTGAGCTTCCCTGGACCATAAATAACACCAGGATAAAGCATCACGATCGGCACCCCCTCTGCCGCAGCTTGAGAAGCAATCTTATCAGCAGTCATCTTTGATCTCTCGTATTCCGTACAGAAACGTTTCTCGCAATGCACCTGTAATCACAAAAACTCGAATCAAATTTCGGGAAAATTAATGAATCTTAAAATCGAAACACTTCATAATTCTCAATTACTTGGCTCTCATCAGCAACATATCCATCAGTGGAACCAAGTGCGAAAAACGACGACGTGTATATGATCTTCTCAATTGTTTCTGTCTCTTTAGCTGCTTGTAGCACGTTATTCAATCCTTCAACATTAACCTAACACAACAATTAATTTCATTTATCAATTCAGTAAAAAAAAATTGAAGTCAACGAGGTGCTTACGGAGAAGAATTTTGAAGGATCTGGAAGCCAGGGTTCGACGATAGCGGCAACGTGGAAGATGACTTGGCAACCAGAGAAGGCATCCAGGAGAGCTTGGTAGTCGGTAATGTCACCGTATGCGAGTTCGAAGACTCCACAGCTGGAGGGAGGAGGAAGCTCGGAGATGTCACTGGTGCGACGGACCAAGGCGCGGACGGAGTGGCCTCGTTTAAGGAGTCCGTGGCAGAGCCTACCGCCTAAGTAACCGGATGCACCGGTCACCAACGCCTTCATAGTCTCTTCTGAGGGAGGGTTGGGTTTGATTTGGTTCGGTTTCAGGGAAAGGCACGAGGAGTGAAATAAGATCCCCTGAGGACCAAACTGTGCATTTAAGTATAAGGATCATCTAAACGTAATTATTAACATTAACATGAACATCAACAAAATAATTCAAAGATTTGGGAAAAACTACACATTGTTTTTTCCATTCTTTCCTTATAATTTTTATCTCTTTTCATTTTAAACACTAAAATTTATTTGTTTTCAATTAAGTTCTTATAAGTCATTTTGACATAATATTATTTATTGTTATATGCTTTGATTTGCATATTCTCTGTGTTGATTTGTTGTTAAATGTTCCAACGTTAAATTAAAGACTAATTTTGCAAAAATTAATTTTATGTTGTTCTTGAAACTAAAATTGAAATATCAAAGATCAAAATTATTATTTCAACTTTTCACGTGTTTGTTGTTTAAATAACATGGAAATATTCAATTTGATCCCTTTTATTTGTGCTTTTCTGTTTCTTTTTATAATTTTTTTTGTTTCAATAGAGGATGTATAGGGAACAGAGAGAATGCTACTAGAAAAAAAAAATACATAGCAAATCCCTTTTTTTTTTAGATCTTTCAAATCATTTTCGTAGGAGATTTATACACATTTTTTTTTTATGATTTTTTAAGAAAACAATTCACTCTCTTCATAATAAATAAAAGATATAACCAATAATTTTTTTTATTCATCATTGAACTTAAATACCTCATTCAAAAATTATTTTTGATCTAATTCACAAGAATTAATAAAAATAGGAAATCCTTTATGATAAACGAGATCCAATTATAACTTTTTAATTTCTTGTCTTTTATTTTAAAGTAGAAAATACAATATAATTTTTTGGAATCATAAGATTCTACATGAATGATCAAATTATAACCATCAATAAATACAATTTTAATGTCTTTGGATTTATTTTTAAAAGGAAAAGCTCAATAAAGGTGATTTATTCATTCAATTATGCATAGCAGGGTAGGTTAAGGATTAAAAAAAATTAATATGGTTTGATTTTAAGTTTTTTCCATTTAAAATGTCTTTTGTGGTTAGTAATAAGGTTTCAGAAATGTATATGATGCAATGTTTGCCTGCAATAATTTTTATATATTTTCAAATTACAAGTTATCAGTTCATATACTTTTTATTCATTTTATAAAACCACAAATATTATCTTTTTATCTCTCAATTGAAAACTTTTATGACACCAAAAAAAATACATTCATAACGCTGTGCATTGCAAATTATCTTGGAATCCTGCACGCAGTTTAGCGCGGGTATCCCGGCTATTTTCATGCATATCAAATCAACATTTTAACAAGAAAATCGCTGCGAGCTACCACAAGACCAGGCAATGACCGCCAGGTATATATATATATATATATTTTAATCTCGACAATCCATAAAAAAAATGTCATCTTTAAATATTATAATTACAGAGCATCGACATCGTTCTTGTCTGAAAAGAATCCTCAGCTATCATAGCTAGTCAATGTGGGTTTTTTTTTTTTGAAAAAAAACATTATTAGTAGCTAAAAGGCTTTCTGTTTGGCAAAGTGAAAAATTCTCATTACATGGAGCGAGATCGTGGGAGGTAGCGGGGAAAAGAAACTAAACCCTCTCTATAGATCAAAATGCAAACTCTAAAATTACTCTCCCATCTCTACAATCTTCCCTTGAACCCCAGAAAGCCCTTCACTTTCTACATCTTCTCTTGGCCTGCGAAAATCCTAAATCCCATCCTTTTTTATCACCTAATCAAAACCCTCAAATATTCCAAAACCCAAGCCCTCTCTGCCTCCGCTTGCTATTCTCACATAAAATCCCTTGAAAAACCTCAATCTTTATGTAAATATCTCCAAACCACTGATTTCTTCGATGCCCATATCCAATCTGGGTGTTGCAGGCCTTGATCTATCCCATTTGGTATTGTTATTTCTTTAGTAACTGTAATTTGGGGATTTGACTGGTGAAAACAATTTTTTTTTAATATTTTATATTAGTGAAAGACCGAGACGCTCATGAGCCCATTGAAAAATTATATATATAAAAAATAGATATAAAGACAAAAATGCCTCTGCGAGAAATTTTTATAATTATTTAATCCCAATAGCATTGAAGTTTTTTTTACTATTTATATAAGAAAATGACCATAAAATCTCTTGACCATTTTTTATTTTTTGCCTAAAAGGTTATTTTGATAACTGTTATTCAAATAAAATGCAAAAAATCTTTGTGCTCCTATTAAATGTTTGAAATGCAAATGTGTCCTTATGAAAAGATTATAGTGCCCTATAGATAGTATTTATTTTCGTGTTGAGAGGGGCAAAATGGAAAAAAACAGCGACCCCTCCCAAGTGGTTTAGAGTTTATTTAGGAAGAGTTTGGAACAGGTCAGCTCATGTTTTAAAAAATTTAATTATTTTTATTAAAAATTAATTTTTTATATATTTTTAATTATTTTAATATGCTGATATTAAAAATATTTTTTAAAAAATATAAAAAATATTATTTTAATATAAAAAATAATTTAAAAAACAATCATAACTATTCTAAAATACTCCAAATTCTAAAATACTCCAAAGCAGAACTAGATATTATAAATATTATGAAAGGCAAGATGGAATTACGATAGTTATCCCTTGACCATGCTCCTTATGATTTTATGTTTATTTAGACTGAAGCTCCTGTTCTCTCTTGTTAAGAAGAAAAACCAAGTATCAATTTTCTCAAGAAAAAAGAAAATCAAATGACAAACAAGAAATTAAAACACTTCTCTACTAATATCAAAGTTCATTGCACAAATCAATCATGGTTCCAAAAAAAGCCTACTCTGTCCAATAATTTTCCAAATGAAACGAGATGGAATTTCACTTCCATCAGGGGGATTACGAATTTTATCACTTGAAACAATAGAGCATTTAAGAGTTAAGCTACTCCATCGACCTGTAGAAAGTACAATTTGTTTCATACTAGAAAACAACTTGTTTCTGCAAAGCATTGTAACCAACGCAGGATTCTTGAATTTCATTGAAAACGAAGAATGAGGTAGCGTCAATGTCAAGCAAATTACAAGATGGAGATAACTAGAAAAAGTGCTTCACTACAAATTGAAGACATAAATTTGTTCCATGAAACTTGGTCTCCGGATTTTCCCTTAAAACTTCCAGCAATCTTAGATTTTGGAGTTTTGGTTTGGATTTTCAGGAGAAATACTACCAATAGACTTGCAGATTTTCCTTTAAAATTCCCAGCAGTCTTGGAGAGGGAGGAGGGTGGTGCTGTGTGGGCTGTGATTTTTCTGGGTCTCTTTTTTAGAGAGGGAGATGAACTGTTTTGTAAAGAGAGAGGGAGGGATGGCTGTGGGTTGTGCTTTCTGGAGGATTTTTTCCTTTACAAGAAGGATGAAAAGAGAAGGAAGAAAATCTTTTTGCTGACATGGCATGAGTTGGTGGACCAAGCTGTAACTAAAGAGCTTAGTATTAAATTTAAGCGCAGCAAGTAAAATTACTGTACACTTCGTCAGGTGACAGGGAAATTCCACAGATGCTACACTTTCAAGCTCACACCCCCTGGCTCTCACGTTTATTCTCTTTGGATGAAGTGTTGCCTCTTAGGAAACCTCAAAGCCAAGGCTTCACAGCAAATTTGAATCTCGCATGCTCACACGAATGATCTTGCCTCCAGGTTGTCAGTGATGACTGTTACAGTCTTGAACGGCGTATACATTTCATTGGATTAAATGGAGCATGCCTTCGCGAGGGATTAAGTGGGTGCCCGTTCAAGGAAGCTGATGACCTGAAATCCCAACCTTCAACATTCTTGGGAACACACGCATCGAAAAGGATTTGACTAAGAACTCCATTTGGATTGATAGTTGGAGAGCTTCGCAAATGAACTAATCTTTCCTCTTGTTCATCTTGCAAGGACTCAAAATCTCTACCCTCGTAATACTCAACTGAGCTTGGCATAAAGAAATGATCACTTGGTGCAATAGTAACTCCATGAAAACTATGGTGAGGATTGACAGCTGCTTTCCTCAGGTCCCTAATTGGCTCAGAGATCTGATCATGTGTCCCTTCGAAACCCATCTTTTCTCCTTCAAGTCGTTGAATTCTCTGGGAAAAAATTGCAGCTGCCTTACAAAGGAGCTCAGTCACAGAAGCCTTGTAGTCAACAGGATAAAGTCGATAATGACCTACAACAATTCATACAGAGAGAACTTCAATATGTTAGTACAAAGAAGAGAAGAAGCATAGAGACAATCTAAGAACTCTAAAAAGGCAATTATGCAATTATGTGAAAAGACAGCACTTGTTGCAATTAAAGAATATCCATTTGCTGTCTCAAAATAATATGTTGATTGTGTAGTAGAAAAAGAGGCGTGGCCATCACAACATTGACTGTAATGGGAATCTAAGGGATTTTCAAGAATTAAACCACAAGTGAAAAAGATACCGGCGGCATCACTCAAAGCACCAAGCTACAAATGCTTGAACTAAATTTTGCATCCTAATGCATGGGTACCTCAAACCAGAAATTAAAAAAATCAAACAACTCCATTTGGTTTTATTATACAACTGATATTCAAAGCAACCCACCAAAATAGTTTTTGCAAGCAACATGGCTTGTAGTATGTTCTGGTTGAACATATATCTGTAGTTAGAAACAGACCTACATGAGGTGAGCCATTCATTTTCACAAGCTTTACATCACCACCCAGTTCTTTTAGTCTATGAGCAAAATTGCAAATGACTTGATACGGAGCAAGACCATCATTCTCTGAACACAAAATTAGATATGGCCCTCCCATGCTCTGCAATAAAGTGACACTAAATTAAATAGATGCCAAAAAAAGAAGAAGCAGCGCAACATAATTTATAGAAATATGCTATTATGTACTTACAACAGAGGAATACAGAGTCTGCCAATACTCAGCACGCTGTGATTCAAATCTGTTCAGGAAGAGAGTATCAAGACTGCTACTAATTCCATTTGCCATCCAAGATAGTATTCTTGGAGGACGAGACATTTTAAGAACAGATGGGTGAACAACAAATTGTCTCCCCAGATCACTCGTAAAATCCACTGGACTAGAATCATAGATGTGGCCTGAAATACAGTCTCTGACCAGCTGACTGTCATCCTATAGATAGACAACAAAAAAAGAAGAAGGAATTAAACAAAACAGAAACAGAAATGAGCGTCAAATGCATAAACTGAGCAGTGGAAAATATAAGAGCATATGGCTTTCACCACATATACAAAGAGGAAGTCAAACTCATGCTAAAGACTGACATACCGGATTCAGTTGTACTTCACACTTTCCCTCAATGATCTGCAATGGGAAAATACAATGTGTTCACTCATCCAAAGGAACTGGGGTTGCTTCTTACTCAAAGAGGGGTTAAAATTCATCATTGATAATTACCCAGGGGCATATGAGGCAGTTACCTGGAGAACCTTGTACAAGCAAGCTTTGGGACCACCAGAAAAGGGCACAAAGACTATAGGGTATGACCTTATCTTTAGCTCCTGCAATTTTAAAAATGATTCAAGCAAATTACAAGATAACCAACAGTTAAACTCCGCAGGTTTCAAGTTAGAGCAGTACAAAATCAGCGGCTTATTCCTCAGGGAGAGTGTCATATTTCAAGCAAAGCAGATATGTGGAGTACAAAGGAAACACTAGATCTCGTTTAAAACTGTTGTGGCAGGTGAAGTTGCACCAGATTGTAGCCACATAAAATATAACCAGCAAAATGAACTGAATGCATCAGAGGATTTGACGTAGAATAGTACTGACCTCAAGAAGTTCATTAAGGATGTCAAATGCTAAAGTTTCAGCCTTCTCAGGAAAGAACCTGAACAGATTGTTAAAGACATTACACCCCAAAGTTTAAAATTATAACTGATTGTGCACGTGTAGGTGTGAATACAAAGCTTTACTGCCGTAAAGATATTTTTGATCAAGGAATATTATCTCAGATGTTACATGTCATTCATATAGGAAAACACAAAATTTTACAGAGAGCATGCAGAAGTCAAGCCCACTAATAAAACACAGTAACTAGTGTCACAGTCATGAAACCAGCAGGTAAATGCAAGAAATGAACATAATTCCCTGTTAGAGCAAGAGTAAATAATACCATGAAGTGATCAGCGCAATAAGAACATTCTTTTAGCCTGGTTGCCTAAGCCTGCACTTCTAAATTACTCCCATCATCTTCTCATGTTAAATACACACTGAATTCAATTCTTATGAAAAAAAATATATTCAATCCTAGCATGTGAAACAAACAGGCTTATATCTTGATTTGTCTCAACTACCAGATCCCATTTAGCACTTTCAGAGAAAGCTATCATCCGTTATCAGAAATATTAGGACCATTAAAGGGAACCAGAAGATCCAGCTCCACCTATCTAGTTAAGGTTCCATTTTAACCTCATGCTTCACTATATAACGTACCAAAATTCAACAAAAACTACAGTTCAGCATCATCTAAAAACAAATGAGCACCTACCCAGTCAAACCCAGAAACCAAAATTCAACAAAAACAAAACATCGAATTCTTATAAACCCGGTCAAACCCAGAAACCAATATGATTAACCAACCGAAAAACAGCCAATTCAGAGGAAAAAACCGAACTTACATATTGAGAAATTGAGAGTGACAGACAAGGGAATTCCAACCAAGAGACCCATAAAGGTCAACATAGCTTTTCACATGTCTTTTTTTACTAGACATCCAAGCAAAAACTACCACTATCCCTTCTCTTTCCATTTCCCTTCTCCCCCAGTAATATCTACCTCCAAACCCCCACATTTCCCTCTTGTCCCCTTCGAAAACAGCTTTCAGTTCTCTATCAATGGACTTCGATGATTAGCGTGCCTTGCTGATTAACTTATGGGGATTAAAGACAACTAAGACTCAGTTTAAAGAAATAAAAGCAAATGTAATCATTGAGTATTAACTAACACTTTAAAAGGCGGGTGGGGGGGGGGAAGTACTGTAACTTTCCCCACGTTACATGTTTTTTTTTTTTTCTGTTTGTTTTTTTTTCATGTGTTGTGTTTTTTTTTACTCGTATTTTCTTGTTTTCTTATTATTTTTTTTACATTTTTTTCTTCAAGATTTTCTTTTTTTTTCTTTTTTTATATATTTTTTAAAAAAATTATTTTTATTAATTTTTTTAATATTAAACTGGTTGAAAATTTAATTCTATAATTTAAAAAAAAACATTATGAATTATTATAATGTTCTCGTGCATGGGTTTTTTATGATTTTTTTTAAATAATTTTTCTTGATTTCTCATGCATGGGTTTTTTATGATTTTTTTTAAATAATTTTTGTTGATTTTATTTTTTTCATATCAAATTGATTAAAAATTTTACTTCATAGTTTTTTTTTTTAAAATACTATAGATTATTGCAATATTTTTCCACATTATTTTTGTTTTACTATAATATTTCCTTTTTAAAATTATTTTTTTTAATTTTTTTTAATATTGAGTTGGTTAAACATTCAACTCTACTTTTTTCATGTTTTTTTATGCTATTTTGTCTGTTTATTTATTTTTTTGTGTCTTTCTTTGTTTTTCTCCCATATTTTTTTTTCTCTTTTTTAGGATTTTACATGTTTTTTTATGTTTTTCCCAATATTGTCTTCTTCTTTTTTAAAAAAAATTATATTTGTTAATTTTTTAAATATTAAATTGATTAAAAAATTATTTATATAGTTTTTTGTTTAAAAAATTATAAATTACTATAATATTCTCTTGCATAGTTTTTTTATGAATTTTTTAAATGGTCTTTGTTAATTTTATTTTTTTCATATCGAGCTGGTTGAAAATTTTACTTTGTGATTTTTTCTTTAAAATACTGTAGATTGTTACAATATATCTCCACATGGTTTTTGTTTTGTTATAGTGTTTCCCTATATATTTTTTTTAATTATTTTTGTTATTTTTTTTATATTGAGCTAATTAAGGATTCATCTTTAACTTTCTCTCTGTGTTTTTTTTTTTCCTTATATTTTTTTTCTTTTTTTCTCCTTTTTTTGGGTTTTACATGTTTTTTCTCTTTGTTTTATTTTTTTCCCAATATTTTCTTCTTCTTCTTCTTCTTTTTTTTCTTTTTTTCTCCTTTTTTTGGGTTAACATGTTTTTTCTCTTTGTTTTCTTTTTTTCCCAATATTGTCTTCTTCTTCTTCTTCTTTTTATTCTTTTTTATATATATGTTTTTTTATCAAAATTATCTTTATTGATTTTTTTTATATTAAACTGAGTAAAAATTTAGTTATATAGTTTTTTTCTTTAAAATATCATGGATTACTACAATGTTCCTCTACATATCTTTTTTCAAAATGATATTTGTCGATTTTATTTTTTTTATATCGAGTTTGTTAAGAATTTTGCTTCATAGTTTTTTTTTAAAACACTGTGGATTATTACAACATCTTCCCACATGATTTTTATTTTGCTACAATATTTTTTCACATGTTTTTCAAAATTATCTTTTTCATTTTTTTTTTACATTGAGTCAATTGAGAATTCAACTCTAATTTTCTCCATATGTTTTTTTTTTCTTTTTTTTTTTGCAAAATTGTCTTCTTCTTCAAAATTATCTTTTTCAATTTATTTTTTTTACACTGAGTCAATTGAAAATTCAACTCTAATTTTCTCCATGTGTTTTTTTTTTCTTTTTTTTTTTTGCAAAATTGTCTTCTTCTTCTCCTTATTTTTTTCATTTTTTGTGATGTTTTTAAAAAATTGTTTTTGTTTATTTTATTTTTTTAATATAAATCATTTTTTCCATTTTTTGTGATGTTTTTAAAAAATTATTTTTGTTTATTTTATTTTTTTAATATAAACTGGTTAAGAATTTAACTTTGTAATTTTTTTCTTTGAAAAACTCCCCACATGTTTTTTTGTGATTTTTTTTCTAAAATTATCTTTGTCTATTTTTTTTTATATTGAGCTGACTGAGAATTTATCTTTATAGTTTTTTTAAAAAAACACTGTAAATTGCTATAGTGTTTCTCCATATGATTTTTTTGTTATCATTTTTTAAATTATTTTTATTATTTTTAATATTACACTGGTTTGGAATTATAACTGTAGATTTCCTCATGAAACACTATAAATTACTATAATATTTCCCTGCATAATTTTTTTCCTCATGTTCTTGTTAATTATATTTTTTTTTATATTGAGCTAGTTAAGAATTTAGTTTTGAAGTTTTTTTTCTAAAAGACCGTGCATTGCTATAGTGTTCCTCCACGTGATTTTTTTATTATGATTTTTTTTAAAAAAAATTTTGTTAATTTTATTTTTTAAATATTATACTGGTTAATAATTTAGCTCTGTTTTCTTAAAAATATTATGAATTACAATAGTTTTTTTCTAAATAATTTTTTATTTTATTTTTTTTATAAACCTACAACAATGTACAAATTTTTTTTTTTTTTTATAAACCTACAACAATGTACAAATATGTTATAAGCCCGCAATATCAGGTATGAATGACATCTAGTTACTATACAAATCATGTGTTTCACATTAATTTACTGTTATTATGGATTGTTTAAAATTTCATATTTTTTTAAATTGGTTACTAAAATTTATTTTTTTAATTATTTAATTTTTATTAAAAACTAACTATTTTTTATTTTTTAAAAATATAGAATTAAAAGAAAAGAAATTGAAATGAAAAAGAAACCAAACATGGATTACATTCACATGCAATAAAATTTGTAAAACTATATACCTTTATCCTCATACTTTAAGTTTTTTTTTATAAAAATATAGAATTAAAAGAAAATGAATTAAAATAAAAAAGATATCAAACATGAATAACATGCAATAAATTTTATAAAAAATATATTTTAATTTAAAATTTTTAAATTACTAAAATGATATAATTTGAGTATCTTAATATTTCTTAATTTGATTTTATTATACAAACATGCAATAAATTTTATAAAAAATATATTTCTTAATTTGATTTTATTATACAAATTTATTTTATTAGTTTTTAATTTCTAGTTAAGAAATGAAAAAAATCATCAGATTTAAGGAACAAAGAAAAAAAATATTACTGATACCAATTTGATACCAATTTAAATTATCAAAACAAATAATATTTATATTAAATAGGTTTTTTTAATTAAAGAAGTTTATATTAAATATTTTTTTATTCTTAAAATTCATGAAAATCAGATATTCAAGATTTTAAAGCAAGTGGTTTGACTTATTTGTTTAATGCTTGAAGTGCGAAATCTGGAGACAGACAACGTTCACGTTGATATTTTCTTTTTCTTTTTTATACTTTTATTTTCTGTCCTTCGAGAACATTTGTTATCGATAATGGTACGTGGCAAGATCAGTGCAGAAAGAAAATGCCTGCAACCTCTTGGCACAATAGTTAAGAAGTATTTTTTTTAATATAATATCATAGTTTTAATAATTAAATAATCACATCACTATTTATATTAACAAAAGCTAAAATTCTTAACACATCTATGCTTAATTGTGTTTTGGGTGTTATTTTAGGATGTTGTCTAATGGATAATAAAAATAATTAATACATGACCTTTTATTTATAAATAAAAAATAACCCTAGCAATATCCTTCCAAGCTATTATTCAGTTATCCAAGCAATTACCTTCAAGAAACGAAGTGATTTATGGTGACAACACACACACACACGTATATAAAATTATGTTTAAGCTTATATATATAATTAAATTTAAGCTTAAATTTAATTATATTTTACTATAAAAAATAAATATAAAATAACTTACTTGATGTAGAATGTATAAAATGATCATTATTTGTCATATCACAGTATCACACAATACTGATTAAGTTTTCTGGTTTAAAAAAATGGTTGACAATTTATTTTTAAAAGAAGAAGAAGAAGAAGATGAAAAAGAGAGAAACAACGGAGGAACAAACCCACCCAATTGCCATCCCTCGAAACACACCAAATTCATAAATCCATCCATCAATCAATCATACGATAAGAATATTTAAATTTTAAACGGCGACAGCACGCATTGATCAACACAAATGCATCCTCCTATCTTGTAGCCGCTAACCTAACCACGAGGGCGCACGTTAGCCCAGGCTCCAGAGTCAGCAAAACAAAGTTCATTTATAAAGCTAGCTCTTAACCCGTCATTAAAATGCAAAAGAAGGAAAACAATAGTCACTTGTATTAATTTCTTATAATCAAAGCCCGATCCACACCACTCATCGGCGCCCTCCAAAACGGTCTTTATTTTTTTATTAAAAAAAGCACAAAAAGAACTCATTACTGCATTTTTTTAATTAAAAAAACTCGAGTTGGTTGCAGAGCGATCTATCGGTTGATCTAATAAAAGAGGAATAATTGGATATTATGGCGGGATGAGGAGGAGGAGGAAATGGCGAGAGGAGTGAAATGGGGATGTTCGTACAAGAGAACCACTCTCTTTGTTTGCTCTATCAACATTTTTGTTGCTCTTTATGTTCTTCGCTCTCTATATGCTTCCCTTTATCTCTACTCCAATAATGATTTTAACAGAGGTAACTAACTCTCCAAGTTTTTAGGTCCCTTTTTTTAATCGAAGCGGTTTAGTTGATTTTCGAGCTTTCGTTTGTCTTTATTATTATTATTATTATTATTATTATGTTGTAGTTGTAAAGTACACACCAGATCAGATTAGGAAAATGGAGGAATCAATTCGGATTCGAAGAGCGAAAGAACCTTTAGAGCTTGTTAAAATTGTAAGCATTTCCTTTTGGGTTTTTCAGTTATTGTGTGATTGATTTGAGCTCTGGATTCCTTCATTGGATGTTGGTAGTTTAATTCAGTGTTTTCTGTTTTTGGAAAGGTGAAGGAACTTAAGGAAGAGTTTAACAGAGAAGAAACGGTGATTGAATTGCCAAAAGAGGTTAAAAAT